TTTTTCTTTTTTACTCAGGTATTATTCTTTTAAAAATAAATATATTCAAAATATTGCCCGTACTAATATGAGCAAATTTGTTAATAATTATTCGAACATTAATCCATTAAACTGTGACGGACAATAACTTCTTAGACTCAACCCATTCCCATTGATGCTGCAAAAAAGACTGATGCAATAGTCACTGTATATGAATAAATGCTTGTGAAATAGTCAAAGTGTCATCATTATTACGTTTCACGAGACCAGAACATTATTCAGTGCCTGTTTTGTTTTCCATTGGCTTAATATAACTTCAACGCAATGAATATATCTCAAATGTCATCAAACTAAATCAATAAAAAAAAAAAATCACGTTGTTTTGCGTGCCCCATCCATTCTTTTTTATGGCTTCAGTTTCAGTGATCCATTCTTTTAGTGCTCCAAATTTGATTTTAACAGTTTAGATTTGATAAAATTTTATTTTTATATATTTAATAAATTATTATTTCAATAGGTACAAATTTTAAAATAAATGTAACTTTCTAACTGTCACCCTAAAAAATAATTTTTTTACGTAAAAAATTACAGGTTAAAATTTTAAATCTAAATCATTAAACTTAATTTTAGACAAACATATCCCCACAATGATAAGCATCATGATATACATTATTGTAATAACTATAACGAGCACTGAAACTCACCGTTGGCATTTATATGCCATGATGAGAGATACTCCTTTTATTTTTATATATAAGATATTTTTAATTAAATCACATAAATTAATAAAAGTTGGTTATCTAATTACTGCTATAGCAATATTCTAATTTTATTTCTAATTAATGTAAATAAAAAATAAATATTTTTCAAAGTAAATTAGTGAGAATACTTATTTTTTTTCTCTTTTCAATTTAATAAGGGTATAATGTTTCATTTATTAAAAAATATGCCAACAACCTCTTATATTTAGGGACAAAAAAAAAGTTCTAGAAGACTTGTTTTATATAGAGACAGAGGGAGTAATGTTTTTTGATGAATTGAATGAATTAATTAAATAGTAGCACGCTCTCTCCATCATTATGTGTAAGAGATTTTCTAGAATCTTTTTTTGTGTAACACCCTCAAATTTATAAATCGATTTTTTTTTCATAAATTATTAATTCAATAAATTATTTTTTTTATTGAACCCTTATCATACTCTTATCATGGTAGAAAAATTTCTATCATGGTACATCCAAGACAATATACCACAGGTCTTAAAATATCTCAAAAAGTAATTAGAACCATGAGGGACATATAGAATCCTCATGGCATGATATTTAAATCAGATCATGAATCAAGAGGGACAAATATAATCCTCTTGGTCATATAAATGCATTTAATAAAAAGGATTAGAGTTTACATGTTGCCAAAATAAAAAATGTCTTAAGTTGGCACAAGATACATTGCATAATACAAAATGAGAGGCAACGTAAAAGATGGCGTCTCATATACCAAAGTTACGCCTCTGGTGCTTTGTCGGCCGGACTCGCTCCTGTAAAAATGTTAACCATGGAGAATGAGAATTAAAAGTCTCAGTAATCAAAAATTAATATGTAATGATGCATTCGAATATAACTAATCATGCGATTGCTAAGTGGGCACACAAAATATTTAACCGAATAATATTTTCAAACAAATCGAACAAGTAATTAATTGCATGACTGCACCTTATATCCTCCTTTCGCCATGCTTGGACGCCAAATCACCCGGCCAAAGGTGAGTTGGACTAAGCGACACGCCACTCATTGGGTCCAATAAAGGCTTATCACGTGGTAATAATTAACCGAACAAAAATTTCCATTAACACCATACATTAAAATACCCTGACAAATCATGCATCATTTAAATATCCAAACAGAAATATATCCGAACAATAATATCTCATCATGATAGACAAAAATAAATTTTTAACCCACTTGGCAATAATTTCAAACAAGTATATACAGTATTTATTTTTAATAATTCATAATTTTTCCAAACAATAAAACAACACATAACTATTCACAAACACACCCATCACAACACATTAATAATGGTTACCTTGTGTCTTGAATAACAAGTTCCCCTTCACAACTCCTTTTTCACCACTATTTTTGTCAATATAATCTACATAATTATTTCACAATACTATATATTAATTTTACATTAAAATTAATAAATAACTTTAAATTAAAGAGTTAGAAAGTTTTAGGCCTAAAATCCATATTAACACTAATTTAAGATTTATGCCTCATTTAACTTTTAAATTCTTTTTTAAAATTCTCGCACCCTGATAAACTATTTTTAAGCATCAAATCACTTCTAGTATCACAATTTCATCCATCTATATTCTAAAAATTCGTTCAAAAATAAATTAAAAATTTTAGAATTATCCTGAGGTCTCAAATCACCTTTCTATAACCTCAAAAATACCTATTCATACTTAAATAAATATTTAATAATTAAAGTTTCATCCCTACATCTTAGATTCAATATAAATTCAACCATATAGATCTAGATTTTAACTCAAAAATTCTTAAACATGAGTTTCAACTTCAAAAAAATATTTTATAATATTTATTATATCTCTAAGAATTTTAACCTATATTTTTAATCCATCATATCATCAGATTAACTATCCTATAAAAAAATCTTAATCAAAATATTTACTCTATCCTACAAAATAATTATATCACTAGAAAGCTAATATTATTTAGAAAATAACTATAAAATTAATTTTATAATTAAGTAAATTTTTAAATGCTAATCTAAATAGGAAAGTTAGAACATACCTGAAGAAAAAGAAAATAATCTCCCCTTGCGAGAAAACGCCAGCAACGTGAGAGGAAGAGAGAAAAATAATATAAAAATGAGATTGTGGGTTCCAAAATTATATTAAAAAAATTATAGGTCTAAATTTAATTATTCAAACATTTGGGCTATTACTTGTAATTTTTACAAATTACATCTTGAGCCATTAGTTACAATTTTCACAAATTGCATAAACTTTTCTTTTTCTTCTGCTTCCTCCACTGATGCACCTCCTCCTTTGAGGCGCCTCACCTTCCCACATCTATCCGATGTGGGACTAAACCCCCTCCCTCTCTTTTTTTTACTTTCTTTTTTTTTAACTCACACCAAAAAAAATTATTTATATATATTTTAAATCTTAATATTTATATCTTAACTAAACATTTCTTATGTAATTTTAAACCTAAGTTTTTAATTCATAATTAAATTTCTAACCATATTATTATTTTCAAATAACCTCAAATAATATAAATTTCTATTATTATTATTTTTTTAAAGAAAAACTTAAATTTCACAATAATTTTTTTATCTAAAAAAATCAGGATGTTACATTTTGTCTATAAATATAAAAAATTATAAGCATATTTTTTAATGAATAGAATATTATAGCTTTATTATATTAGAAAGAGAAAAAGATAAGTACTTTAATTAATTTATTTTAAAAAAATTTTTTATTTATAATAATTAGAGATAAAATTGAAATGTTGCTATATTTTTAATTAAATAATTAATTTTTATTGATTTGTATGATTTAACTAAAAAATTTTATATATAAAGATGGAGGGAGCATATATACTGTTTCCTGTCACGATTTTTAAAAGTACTATTGGTTCTAAGTTCTAATTAACTTCAAAACAATTCAATAATAAATTTTGATTTTTAACTTATGCAATTTTCAAGCATAAATATTCTGGCCTCTATGGTTCTAATGTCAATTTCCCTAAAATTGAATCCACGTACGAGTTAAGCATGCTTTGAAATGTCAAACCATAAATATGAAATTACAAATCAGAGAAACGCTTTTTTCTTATTACGTTATGATGTCCACACCGTCCACTAAAAAAATTGCAAACATTAGTCCATTCAAACACAAAATATTAAGTAAAATAATACATGAAAACAAATTTTTCTTTAGAGCACGACAATACAAGCAGATTCATATATATATATATATATATAACATAGTAAACATCCATTTGGATAACCCACAACTCACTTTCACAAGTGCTTTTTCACTTTTAAAAAATGAGATGTTGTTTGGATATTACCTTTCACTCCAAATTAACTTTCTAAAAATACTTTTTGAATGTTGTTGAATGTAGATCTAGTAAAAGTTATGGAGAAAAGTTTTTGCAATGTGCTTTTGAAATGTAATTCCATAGATTTTTGATATGACCATGTTACTCTAAAATTTTTAATGACTCTTATACTTTTAATCTTTCTTTATATTTTTATCACAAAAAAAAAATCTTTACATTTTTTACCACTACGACTATTTTTGTACAATTATTTTCATTTTACTTTTAATATTTTAAGTGTGACTTCTAATAGAAAGATAAATAGAGTTCACGATTTAATTAGAGACTAGATTATACATTATAAATTGAATAACTAATCATCTTAATTTTCAATATTAATGTATGTTAAATTATTTATTATATAATTTTTTCCAACATATCAAACTTTATTTTATTATTATTATTATTTAACATATCAAGTTTTATGTTATTCAAAAATTTTATCACATTTTTTAAACATTTCTAATATATTATATTTGAATAACAAAAATTATAATTCATCATAAATTAATATTTTTTTAAATAGTTGTACATTCAAAAGCACATCTTACTATATATAACCCAAACAACTTTTATATTACTAAACTGACTTTTTAAAAAAATATATTTAAATACAAGTTTTATTTTAGCAAATAATTTTTACTAAACTAACTTTTTACTAAATGAACTTTTAGCAAATAAATTTTTTAAAAATTAAAAACCAAACACAAACTATCTATAATTTGTGTGTGTATATATATATATATATATAATACCACTATCTATATAACGCCACTATATAAAATATAGATGATACAGAAGCAACATTTGTGAACAGAAACAAGATACCGCACACGCACACGCGCACACACAAAACATTATACATCAAGCTCTTTTTCTATCATATCATACTTAAGCCTGTGCTAATTCATTAATTGGATACCCCATCAAAGGTGGTGGTGGTGAAACCATGTTCATGAACTCATAGTCTCTTACCAGAGCTTCCAATATATCATGAGACATGTACAGCTCAAAGTCGAAGCTACCTTCTTCTGCTCCGGCATCGGCGACCAGCTTCCACATCCTTGAGTTGGTTGGACCGAGACGAACCGCCACCGGCCTTCCCCAGCCGAAGTCAAATTCATAAAAGTTGATTCTTGGAGAGTTATTTGTTGTCATAAACTTGCCAATTGTGCCATGTTGTGAAGGCATGGTTGGATTTTGTATCCAAGCGTCAAAGTCCTTCTTGATCTTCTCTTCTGTGAATGACGCGATTACTTTGTTCATCTCCAAAGCAAACTTTCCAAGGCCTCCATCTCCAACTAAGTCTCTTACTTTCATCGTCACAGTAGTGTATTGCACAGCGTTTCCAAAATAGTTGTCTGGTATTGGTGGGTGATAAATTCTGGATCTAGCAGCTATGAGGAATCTGTAAGTGACTTCTTCTTCTGGATCAAGATTCTGAATTCTGATCACAGACCTCCAAACATGGCCTAGAACAGCTTGCAAGGACGAGATTTTGCTGATCATGACCCCACCATCCTGTACCTCTGTGTTAGCTTTTGCTTTGAGTTCTGCAATTTTTTCCCTTTTAAAGTGAAAGATCCTCCTAGAGAATGAAGGCAGCTGAACCGAATTACCAGACCCCTTACTGTAATTCTCTATCATTTCTTTGAATGGGATTCGTATAGGACGTTCAATATTATCGTGAGGAAACCATCGCTCAAATGAAGCGAACTTTGAATCTGAAGCAATGTGGTTTAAACCATTTCGTGAGATCTCTGCCCATGCATTCCAGAAATCCCAAGCCGGCTTCACATCAAACAGACAATGGTTCATCGAGCAAGCGACGAAGATGCCGTCCACTAGCTCTGTAACTTGAACAGCCATTAATGGAACCTGAGTTCCTTCAAAGTTCTTGAAATTTCCAAGTGGGAAGAAGGAGTGGAGAATTGAAGGAACATAAGTGGGTTCGATGATGTGAGCAATTGATGTGTTCTCTGCAACTGCATGAACAAAGCTTACTCCGGCGTTGTTGCAAGTGATGAAGACGGAGGATGTGTCATCATCGTCGTGGTGGACGACGGTAAGACGGCCGGCAACGGGTGGGAAGAGGTCAACGGCAAGAGAAAACGAGTCCTTCAAGTGAAGGATCAATGTCTCTGTGTGTTTGAAAGATGATGATGATGAGGGTTTGTGAAAAAGAAGACCCTTCCGAGCATACTCATTTGCTAGAAACTGAAGATCCCATGGATTCAAGTCGATTTGTTTTGGTGAGTCACCATTATTAACGTCACTTCGTGCCTGGACTGAAGCTCTGGAGATTACTCGGATGGCTTCCATGGTATGATTGATGTGGTTTGGTTTCTTCTTTTCCTCTACAATTGCTTTATCTATGTCTGAGTATGTGTGTGTAATTTAACCAAACAAGACACACGCTTACACATCAAAATGAATAAAATATCTACTTGACTATTCCTTTCATTAATTATGGCCAACGGTATCAAGGCCCAGTAGATTTCTTTTAGATAAAGATCAGGCGTGAACAGTGTCAATTTCAAGGCCTGGTTGAATTTTTTGGCCGGCATGATTAATGATTTTTTCCCAGTTTCATATTATAAGATATTTTTAATTAAATTATATTTTTAATAAATTAGTTAGTTATGTTTAAAATTATATATTCTTTCTATATTTATTCTTATTATTTAATTGAATGTCTCAATTGAAAAATATTATTAATTACACCATTAATTAAGTTTATTTTTGAAAAAAGTCTTATTAGTTACGTTGCACCTTAAAATACAAAATACTTTATATTTTTTAACATTAAAATTTTAAATAAATATCTTATAATATTAAATGAAGGGAGTATTTATGTAAAAAAAATAACTTTAGTAGGGTCTAATTTTTTAAATTTAAAAAAATTAACCTTTTTTATATTATGTTTAGAACTGTTGGGCTTTATAAAAACAGTTTTGATTCATGATTTAATAGCAGTGCAACTCTAGTTAAACCTGACTCAATCATAAAATTGATTTTTTGGATATAAATCAAGTCGTTAACAGTTCAGATCGATGGTTCAACTGATTTGATTGTCCGGTTCTTAAAACAGTATTTGATCGCATCCTTTGTACCAATGGCTTGAGCATTTTTCACCATATTTCCAATTGGTGATTCTAGTGATTCCTTTTACCTCAACCAGAAAGAATTCAAATACCGCACCTCCTCGTTTCTTGCATTTTTATATTAATTGTTGAAATTAAATGGTCTCCATCACCTATCATATTTGGCTATATACCCTCCATTTTTATTTGTAAAAAAAAATATCAGTTTTTACTTTTTTCATATCAGCAAAATCACATATTTTAATAAGCATTTGTTACACATTTCTAAATCGTCCCTCATAATTTATATTAACAAGAAATAATTAACACATGTTTATGTTGATTAATATAGGGTATTTTAGTTTAGTTTTTTTTTCAGACATAATTATTATAGTTAACTAACTTCCTTAAATTATGTGGATAGTTTTTTTTCTTTTATATATAAAAATGGAAGAAGTACTATCAATATTTAATATAAGACAAAATTAACTAACTTCACTCTTACTAAGAAACGTTAGTTATAATCTTGAAATTGTAAAAAATATATATGCAATTTTATGTTTTTACTCTTCTTTGCAATAATAGCCATAATGAATTGTTGTACAAGAATTCAAATGACAATAATTAAACAAGGGATAAAATTGAAAAAAATTAAATACTATAAGTTTGTCTTATATTAAGGATAAAAAAAATCAAACTTCATCTTATATTAACAACATGAGGGAGTGTAAAATAGTATTTGAGAGAAAATGAAATGTGAAAATGGTAAGGTTCTCTCTTCCTATGTTTGTTTTTTTATCGCAATACGGGTGTTTGAATCCTAAGCTTTTATATACTTTTCAGTTTTATCTATAAGTTACTTTATCATGTTTTACCAAAACAAAACAAAAAAAAGCCTTAATTAAATCCTAGAGAAAACATAGCTGTTGATGGCCCCTGTAGTTTAAATGTTTTGGCATAAGTCCTGTAGTTTTTTCACTACTTCAAATTCCTTTACTTTATTCCACCTGTAATGTTAGTCCTTTTATTTTTAAATATGTACAAAAGAATGATGAGGTGACACTAATAATATCAAATATGCTGACATGCATGTTACTAACATCATTAATCTATGTTTAAGTACAATTTTAATTCAACAAATTGAATGGGGTGGACAATACCATTAATCAGCTTAATCATAATTCCACCTCAGCACAGATTAATAGCATTAGTCATATTTCATATATATTTAACATTGTTATTGCAATCTCATCATCTTATTGGCTTATTAAAAAAATATAGGAACTAACATTGCGGATGGGATAGACTAAAGGAATCTATAACAATGAGAAAAACAAACTTTAGGGACTTGTATAACAAAATACATTAAAAGTAGTTTACCATAAATTTATTTAGTTTACCATAAAATACATTAAAAGTAGAGGGACTAATACTTATATTTTTCCTAAAGCTTATCAACTTTGCCAAAGAAATTAATAAGTTTTTAACTTCATTCCTAATATATATATCTCTAACCAACATTTAATGCATGGGAGATAAAAATAGTTGAGAAACTTGTGATAAAAAGTTAATAACATAACTCATAAATATGATCAACAAAATTCTTATCTTTACTTTATAAATAGAAATGGATATATGGATGGGTACATAGCAACTCGACTTGCCATCTAAACTTAATTCAAGTGGCCTGAATTGTCGTTGTCCTCTATAAATGCATCATATTATTTGAGGTTGTTGAAATAAGATATAAATCTCACTCAGAAATTTGTGTGAATCAAACCATGAAAAGTCAGTGATTGGAAAATTGTCGACAAGATGTTAATTGGGAGTATGAGGAATGATCTTATAGGCACTAAAGAAAAAGGAATGATCTCAGTTTTCATGATATAATGAGCTGGATCAATAATGAATTAGTAATGTAATAATTAAGTAAAATTAAATAAAAAATAATATTATATGCATATAATATATAAAAGAAATAAATGTATAATATGTCTAGTTGTTAATGAAATTGTAATTTTATAACATATCAAATATATGTGAATTTTAATTAAATTAGGTGTAATTAAACTTAAAAGCACATATCTTTGCATCCATAATTGTCAACTTTTTCCTAAAAAAAATAGTCTCAAATCATATCATATACATATAAAGGGTCCAAAAATAATGTTATCTTTTAGTAGGGGTTTACTTTTTGAAGTTTTCTGATTTTTTTAAATTTTTAAGCTTTTTATATTATATTTATACGTATCTAGTTTTCTAAAAATTATTCCAATTTCCAAGTCAATATAGTGGCTAGAAATTTTCTTGGTCCAAATAGAGCCATTAATGACTTTGATCAATGGTTCAACAAGTCTGATAATCTGGTCATTGAAACAATGCAATTAGTATTAGTATAATTTTCATATATCATTATATAAATGTATATAATATGAGCTAAATTTCGTTTCAATTTGAAAGGTTATATAATTTTCTCCACTTTTGAGTAATGTGGCTTGTCTTAATTCATTTATGCTATGATCAATCTAAAATATAAAATAATAAGTCATAATAATCACAAGCCATGAATAGTAGTATGACTTATTTTGTCGTGTTAATGTAGTATGGAACTCAATTTTAATTATAAATATTCACCTCTAAAAGCAATTTTTTTAATAAATGGAGTACAAAAGTAGCTCTAAGATAGATATTTTCATTCTTAAAAGGACATCAAGGAATGCTGAAATTGTGAAAGAACTTTTAAATTATTTTGTTCAATCATAATCATGCCATGGTTGAGACTTCAAAGAAATTAACTTGAAAGGTTACATGTGGCCTATCTCATTTTGAGCACAAGCTGAAAAATTCAGCCCATGCCTATATCAGGCCATTTTTAACTCAAAAATGGGTTGGGCCAGTCCATATGGGCCCAAATGGGTTGGGTTACTCCATTTGTTTTATCCTGTCCTATTTATAAGGTGCCTAGGACATCTTTTTCATGATTTAAGAAAATTTATCATATTTTGCTTTTGTTAACTTTTATTCCAACTTTTTAATTATACTCTCATTAATAAAAATGAATATGAAAATGAATATGATACTGCCACCTAATTATAATATGTGCAATACCTTCTTACTAGAAATTATTTTGTGTAAAATGAAAAGTTTTAATTAGCTAAACATCTTATAAATAGGTTCCAACTTTTTGTCCAACATCTTATAACAAAGACCATTATTTTGTGTTAGCAAAACATCTTATAAATAGGTTGGAGTACACTAGAAATTAACTTTCGTTTTAAGAATAGCATTTGAGACCACGAACCAACTAACAAACCATGAACCAGATGGATCCATGGGGGACAAGCAAAATTTCTCTTAAAATGTTTTATTTTGTGTTTGTAAAAAAATAAATGTTTTGCTCCCCAACTTTCATGTAGAATTTTATTTTGGCCCCCCTTGAATGAGTTTCTGGATCCATCCCTGTGAGCCACTATCTCGACTAGTTTTGATTTTCATAACATTGGTTAATTAAATGGCCATAATCATAAATTCCATGACTAAATTAAATTAATTATTATGGGTATTGATAGTTTTAATTGGCTAAATCAATGATATATTACTTACTACTTGGATTGCTGTAAGTTTAACAGTAGGCCAAGCAGTAGTATTGGGCTTTTAAATTTCTGTGCTTGGATTGAGTAATCACTTTCCCTTTAGGCGTAATTACTTAAATAGGTTTCCATTGCTAATCCTTGGTTGTGCCCCTTACCTAAAGCTACTAAGCTACTTTTCTCCAGTTTTTCGCTTTTTGTAATACCTTGGTGATGAATCTTGTTAATGACCTTGATTTGTTTTCCAATTTTCTGAATTTTCAAAATTAATTTTAATTATAATTATTTTAAGGCTTTTCTGTTGGGCGTTAAAGAAATAAGGAATAAGGTTTAAGCAGCAGTATTTTAGGAACCCATTTGTCTATTTTGTTTTCATTTTTGTCTGTCTTAAACCTGTGAGGATGTTTTGTTTCCCCAAAAAAATCAGAAAGGAAGTGTCGAGCTTATGAACTTACCATGATAACTTGATGTTTTATTCCCATGAAATGCAAAAGAAAAGTAACAATTTAAAAGTTTCTTCAAGATTATACTTATTTTATTTCATTTAAACTCTATTAAAATGTACAGAAAAAACATTGACAAAATAAAATATAAGTACACGGAGTTTTAAAAAAATGTATGTAAAGAAAAAAAAATTGAAGTACACTTTTAGTCTTCTACTTTTTGCACAAGATTTTATTTTAATCATTTAATTTTAAAAAATTTATTTTTTAGTTCTTTAACATTAACACTGATAGTTTTATTATAAATTTTTATATTAAACTTTTAAATATTAACAAAATATTTTCAAATTTTGACTTATTAAGTTTAGTTTTTTTTAAATAATAATAATTGATATAAAAATAATAATTTAAAACTAACAATGTTAAGTTAAAGGACTAAAAATATACTTTATAAAATTAATAAACTAAATTAAAATATTATATAAAGTTGAGAATTAAAACTATACTTTAATCAAAGAAAAATTAAAAAATATCACATAGATTTGAAAATAGTCATATTACTCATGATTCAAGTAAATTTTGTGTTCGGCAAGACTTGTGCACTTCTTATATATTTAATATATTTTTATTCAATTAAAACAAAATAAGTGAATTTTAATATGTCAATAATATTAATAAAAAATTTGACATAGAAGAAATAATTTATAAAAGATCTCCACATGTATCTTGAATTAATTAAAAACAAGAACTTTAAGTATAAGTATTTAATTTTTTCCTATTTTTATTTTATACTTCATTCATTAGGTCATGTATTTATTTTAATTAATCAATTATATTTTTATGTTTAAAAAATGTACAAAGTAGCCCAACGATAAGGGCTATGTTTAAAGCCCACAAGCTTATGCATTAAGCCCAAGCCCATAGTTAATCCATCCAGCTCATATAAACCATTAAAAAGAAAAAAAAAAAACTATGTTCGATCTTGAATAAAAGGCACAAATATCTGCCTTCCAATATATACTAATAAAATTTATTAAATTAATTAAATTTATAAAAAATATAATTTTCCCTATTTACCTTTAATTATTAATAGTGGACATTCTTTCTTGTAAATACCAGATTTAATGAGAGGGTTTTAAATATAAACCCCAAAGAATTCTTCATATTGGATTAATATTCGATCGTTAGGGTTTGACAAACAATCTATGGTTTTAAATTATGGGTGGAGCTTCTAGTTTATGTGACGCATTATTATTTAATAATTTCTTAAGAATATAAAGACGCAATGAACGATTATTGTAAATAATTAAAGGTGGATCACTAACTTTTTTTCAATGAAAAAGAGAATAAAAGAAATGAAGAGTGGTTTGAGGAATATAAAATGGAATGTCAATGACCTATAGCCCTTGCAGATGGCAAATCAAAAAGCAGTGCCAAGCGTCCAAAGTATTTTGGAAACGGAATCTCTCCATTTTTTTATTATCATTTTCCTAATTATAATTAGTTATCAAATCTATAGTTAAAATAAATTGCGTGATCATATAAAAAAAATGGAGAAATTTTTGGTCACATTTTATACACACACGCACACTTGTGTGTGTTTGAACCATGGTGGAGACTTTGTTTTTGGTAAATCATTGTGGAAAATTTATTCATTCTTTTGGAATTCCTGCCTCATTGGCTCTCCTTGGCATAATACATTTACAACTGGTAATTTAGACGGATCGAGCTGATTGTGACCGAACTTAAAGTATCTTAACCTATTAAAAAAACTCATATAACTAAGTTTAACCTATTAAGCTTAGTCAAAATTACCCACTTTATATATACATATAGTTAAAAATTTTAAGGGTAAGACTTATTCAAGTCGAGTTCAATTTGGATTAGATTTAAAAGTATTATACCCCCTTAAAATATCCATATAGCTAAGCCCGACACTGATTTTTTTCAGGTGAGATCGGGTTTGATTTGAATTACCGACTTAAAGTACAATATATATTTTAAAAGAAAAAACAGTTAAATTATATATAACTTTCCTGAAGATTGGGTCAATTGTAAGACCCTCATGTTTCTTTTTACTTTCTTTTTTTTTTTTTTTTTTTTTTCCCTGCCTGTTAACACGCCTACTATTAAGGTTGTTAATTTAACATTCGTTTCATTTAGCTATTTTCCTTTAAAAAACATTATATATCATATCAGTTCAATTAAAAAAAAAAAACACACGGTAAGTCAGCTGGATTATGAATATTTTAATTATTTTATTTAGTCCCAAAAAACCGCTCAAGTTATTTTCCACGTGCATCCGAAAGCCCTTTCAATCATTTTTTGGTGAAGGAGTGACTAGAACAAATCAGCAATTTTCTCTCAAACAAAAATTCCCTGTCAAAAAAAAAAAACTCTCATTTGGACTCTCTCTTATATTTTCCCTCAAAATAATTATCAATGAGCAATTTTAAAAGAAAAGCTGAGAAAACTTGAAGAGCCACGTCCTGACAAGAAATGTTTCTCTCAAAATATTTCGTAATAAAAGCTTGACAAAAGTAAAAATTTAGAAGATAAAATTAATTAAAATATTATTATATGATCTTTCCCTTGAATTTTTTTAGAGAAACTTTCTCTCATAAATTTTTGAGGAAAGTTTGGTAATTTCTCTCAAAAAGTTATGAGATAGTTTTCTCTCAAATATAAATGATACATATGCCTTAATTTAATAGAAAACAAGCACTTCAAGCATATAGGATTAAGTATATAAATTTTGCCCACAAATATAAATTTTGCCCACAATTAAAATATTCAAAATTCCATATCATATGCCAAGTGTTTTTAATTGGAGTGAAATGGTATAAACTGGAAAATTAAACAACAACTTTAATGTTAAGGTAAGGCGGCCAGTTGTCAAAACATAAAACATTAGGGTCTTAGTGCTTGTTTGGTTTTTTATTGGCTAAAAGTCAATTTGTCAAAAGTTCATTTAATAAAAATTAATTTAATAAAAATAAATTGTTATAATAAAATTTATATTTAGATACATTTTTTTAAATGTCAGTTTAGTAAATTGAAAGCTGTTTAGATTATATATATAGTGAAATATGCTTTTAAATATACAAGCATTAAAAAGAACATTGATTTGTAATTATTTTTAATTTTTGCTATACAAATATAATATATTATAAATTTTTAAAAAATATAAAGAAAATCTTAAATAACATAAAATTTGATATGTTAAATAATAAGAATAAAAAATATAAAAATAAAATTCAATATATCAATGTTATTTTTTACTCATATAAAAGACCAAAATATCATCTTAACCAAATACTTTGACTCGTTAATTTAGCAGATAAGGATTATTTTGTAATCAATTTTTATTTTAAAATTTTCTTTTATTTAAAACCAAAAACAACATTGGACTTTTCAAAAGTACAAACCTACTTTTCAAACGTGGAACGTAGAGTATCCAAATGAACCCTTAATTTTAAACTTTTAAATATCAAGGAAGTTATGTAGAACTAGCTTAAAGTTTGGCCTAATAATATGTTTTTTAGCCAAAAAAATTGCAAGACTGTGTGACTAATCAACATAAGGAAATTAAGAAGATAAATGAAACGTTTAATTAACCTTGTCTTCAAATTGAAGAAGCTGATTCACAAGGCTGGACACAGATTCCCTATAATGAATTACCTATATATATATATATATATGAAACAAGATGATATGGTACAGATGGATGATGATGAATAATATTCTGCTTTTGAAGTACAACAGTGTCGTATATGAGGAGAAAAGTGAGAGGGGTGAGATAGCATTCACTGAATTGGGGAGATATGAATGCATTTCAGGGAACAGTGTGGGAAATGAAAGAGAGATTTAAGTGTCCGCAAATTTGGAAGCTTTATGTTTGTCTTCCTTACTTTATATATATATATATGTATGTATATATATCATTCACTCTGAATGCTAAACCATTATTATTTATGGTGCCACTCTTCACAACTGGCCATTCTAGTAGGACCTACCATTCTTTTCATTGCATGCATGGCTCATACATTATTACAACTTGTAAGCCACGTTCAGTGAAAGCAGTAACAATTATATGTGTGTGTATATATGTATCACTTTGATCTATCCTTTCTTAGGGCCAACAATAATTAGCGTTTTCATGGACCAAAGTGAGGGACAGGAAAAGACAGCATATCTCTACAAAAGTGACTAAATGATTTGGTTTTAGTTGGAAGTTGGTAAAAATTTCAATGATTTATTCTTTACACTTATAATTATAATTAATATCAGTATATTTATAAAAATTTTAAGTATCTGTAAATGCAACTTGTCTCAAATTCTATGGAAATGGACATGCACACACACTAACTACAATTATTATGTCATGCTATTTCTTCAGAAGTCTTAAACCAGACTTAGGTTCAGCTTGTCACAGTTTCTCATACAATCATCATGCTACATATCAAAATTTTTAAAGTAAATTTACCAATAATATATCTTTTTATAAAAAAAAACTCAATTCAACTTGATACCAATTTAGTGGTGGTATTGATAAAGGGTTGACTTATCATGGGCTTGTGGGGTAGAGAGAGAGAGAGAGAGAGCTACTTTTGCTATTTAAAGCAGGATGCTTTCGTTTCTTTATTACAGCAACTGTCTGTTGAACTTTGATTTGAAGACCACACGAGTGATTTAGAATATCAAAAAGTAATGTGTTGTTTATTTTCTCTGACCCACTTTGTTACTTGTGATTAAAAAAAAAAAACCAGCATGCAACTTCTTACAGTGCTTAACAAATGATTCTTAACTCGTTGTTCTCTCTCTCTCTCTCTCTCTCTCTCCATTTTTTTTTATGAAACAGAATAACCCCTCAGCAATCTATGATAGAAGGAACTTTTTTTTTCATTCATCTTTTGCATTTATCTTCAGTTGCCATACGTGTGGCTCCACTTTCATATATTCTTTCCTTTCACTTTGCATGATTGGCTCAGAGGGAAAAACTGAAATATGCAAACTAAGTTAATTATAAAAATATTCATAGCATCTGACAGATAACTTTTAATAAAGAAACTTATCAAACGATCATCTTGTCTGTTAATGATCACTTTGAATATTTATTACAGGAAGCATTTTTTAGTATTATTAGTGGCTCAGTTTTCTCACATCAGTTTGACATGAGAGAAACTTGAGAGTGAGTGCCATTCTGGTTCAATAACATGAAGAATGCTTGTGATTCCTCTTTCTGATGTGAACTTGACATGAACAAGAGCAAAGCACTGTTTCATTTTGAGCTGACTCTACCAATCAAAACCTTCTTTTGAAGCTTTCTTTGATCTCATAATCATCAGTTTCTTCTGAACCTTCAAGATGGAAAGAAGAGAAGATTTTTCTTCCTTTATTTTAGCTTTCTTCATCATCATCATCATCTTCTTCTGTACTTCAATTTCTGGTTTGCTTTCTCCGACAGGTGTCAACATTGAAGGTAATAAGAATTTTTCTCATATCTGGGAATTAAAGTATAAGCCATAAAACTAACTTCCCTGTTTATATATTCATACAGTGCAAGCTCTTATAGGAATTAAGAGTTCTTTAAAGGATCCCAACAAAGCCCTTCATAACTGGGATATGAATGAAGTAGATCCTTGTAACTGGGCTTTGGTATCCTGCTCTTCTGATCGTTCGGTGACTACCCTGTAAGTTCATACAAACAAAAAGTGTAATTTACATATCATTCTTCTTTCAACTTTGATTTCTTAAGTTTTCACTTACTTTTGATTCTTTCTTCTTTCTTTTTCTTAGGCAATTTCCAAGCCAAAACTTTTCTGGTTTTCTTTACCCAGGCATCAGCAACTTAACAAATCTCAGGACTCTGTGAGTTATCTGAACTCTGACATGAACAAATGAAGATCCAGGATGTCTTCATGGCTTTAATCTTATCATAACAAGATCTCTTGTTTGTTCTAATTTATGTATTTACACATTTTTGCAGGAGCCTGCAAGGTAATAATATATCAGGACCAATTCCTTTTGAGATTGGGATGCTACAAAAGCTTCAAACTCTTGATATTTCTCGGAATTCCTTCACTGGTCAACTTCCAGAGAGTCTCTCCCACATGAAGAGTCTCAATTATCTGTAAGTTGAAGAAGGAGAATGATTTTACATCCATAAGAAAATTTTCATAAATAATCTCTTTCTTGCTATAGAATCTGATCATTGAAATTTGAACTGTAATCAGGAGGCTCAACAATAATAGTCTCACAGGACCAATACCTTCCTCTTTGGCTAACATGACACAGCTTGCTATTCTGTAAATATCTTCAACTTCAAGCCTTCTTTACTATAGTATTCTTTCTTTCTTTCTTGTTATTTTTTTCACTTTCTGATTCTCCTTCATCATCTTCATTTCTGATTATTGTTTTGTCCACTTATGAACTATGCACAGGGATCTTTCTTATAATAACTTGAGTGGACCTCTACCTACAATAAATGCAAAAACATTCAAGTAATTAACTTCTTCTTTAGGCCTTTCTTTATCAGATTTTTTTCGCTTTCAACTTTTGTTTGTTGGGAAAATTACAATTGAAGGTCTCAAGATGACTATTGGACAAACGTTAAAAAATGTAAGGTGTTTTTTTTATATGAATTAGATATTTAAAAATATAAAGTATTTTTAATATTTTAAGGTGTAATAATTACGTTTTTTTAAGTGCCCTTAATGAATAATTATTTTATATTTATTTTAAAGTGAAATACTCTATCAAGTAGAGGTAAATAAAAAAAGATGGTATTAGTTTAAAACTAATTAATTAATTTATTGAGAAGTAAGATTAAATTAAAAATGTCTTATATTTTTGCATGAAGGAAGTGACACTTAGGTCCTAAAAGATCAATTTAATGATAATTTAGGTTCCAAAAAATTTTATTACAAGATGGGTTGTAAATATTAATTCACATAGTTGCAAATATGAAAGTTTCGATTACAATTATATTTAGATTTTTAAGTGTCTGAACCTTGAATTAATACTTGTAACTCATTGTTAAATAAAATTTTTTTGGACCTTCCTATCATTGAATTTATATTTTGGGACCTATGTATCATTTCCCTCAAAATATTATTCAAAAAGCCCAGAAAAATACAAATATATTTAACTTGAGATTCTGAACTGTAATTATTTCCTCTTGTGACTTAAGCCAAGAATAAAGTTTCAGTTAATTATTTAGTAAAAACTTTATGTCTTGAAACAGTATTGCAGGAAATCCCCAGATTTGTGCCACTGGAACTGACCAACATTGCTTCAGAACAACACAACTTTCAACCAATTTTAATAGCTCCCAAGGTATTCAAAGTTTCAGCATATTGTAGATCTTTTTTATGCATCTGATACCTCTTGATTTTCATCTTTGATTTTTTTTTTTGGTTATTGATATGCCTTTTACTTTCAAAGTTGTACATATTTTCTCTGAATGCAAGAATAAATTTTTCAAATTTTCTTGAATTTTATTGGACTTGCGCACATATTTTTAAAATATGCAAAATTTATTTATTTTTTAATATAAATTTATGTAGGTATTGTAGATAAAAGAGAATATGTCCTTTATAACTTTAACATAAATTAAGAAATATTATTGTAATTCAGGTTTTACCTTCAGTAAACTTTTAAATAATTTTAATAAAATTGAAAAAGATACTCCCTCTATTAAAAAATGTAAAGCATTTTTAACCGAATCTTAACTTTTAATAAAATAGTTACCTACTTATTAACTAACCCTATTTTTTATATTTATTCTTATTAAACACTTTACAATAAATATAAAGTCATTATCAATAAAGGCACCTCGAAAGATTAAAAATATCTTACATTTTTTAATATCTAACTCTTTAAAAAATAATTTATATTTTTGAATGGAGGGAGTATTTGTATTTCTGTATAATTTACTCTAAAAACAAATCATTTTTCTTTATCTATATATTTACACACGGACAAATTTCTATAGTTGCTTTTTATCTACATATCTTTCTTGCAATAATTTAATTTTTTTTTAAAAATAAAGTTATTTTTCTAACATTTGAAACTCATAACAATATGTAGAAATATATTAATTATATGAAACGAAAAATATTAAAAGAACAGAAATTTTGTACTGAATCCACCAAAACCAATTATTGTCCATTATTTTTAACTACGGCATAGAACTTAGAGCCATAAGGCATAGTATCTTTTTTATATTCTATCTAATACAGTAGCTTGAAATGCTTCTCCAGGGTCACCACCCACAAATAAACCAAAGAATCGCAAACTTGCCCTGGCACTTGCTTTAACTGTAAGCTGCGTCTGCTTCCTAATTCTAGTGTTTGGCTTCCTCTGGTGGAGGCAAAGATCTAGCAAGCAAGTTTTCTTCGACATTAATGGTTAGTGAATCATAATCTGCACTTCATAAACTTTGATTGCATTTTGTTTTTAGTCCCTAAAGTTTTATTTTGTTATTCCCAGTCCCTTTAATTTGATTTCCTTTATAACCCTTTAATTTGATCTGCTTGTAACATTAGTTTTAATTTTACTAACATGTACTTAACTCTCTTAACCTCTCTTTGTTGACTTGCACTTAATCTCTCACTCGTCAATATAGCTCCTAGTCTTTGTATACATTTTTAAAACTATAGGAACTAATATTCAAACGAATCAAACTATAAGGACTAGCGACAATGAAATAAAACTAAATGAACTGAAAACAAGTACAATCAAAATACTAGAACCCATTGCTTTATTTTCCATTTAAAAAAAAAAATGCGTCGAAGTTTGACATCACAGCAAGTTTTCTTCATTCATGTGTCTCTGATCTCAGAACAAATGCTAGAAGATGTGCGGCTCGGAAACCTAAGAAAGTTCCACATAAGAGAACTTGAGGTTGCCACGAACAAGTTCAGCAGCAAGAACTTGATAGGCAAAGGAGGATATGGGAATGTGTACAAAGGCTATCTTCCAGATGGTGGGGTCATAGCAGTGAAAAGGCTTAGAGATGGCAGTGCCATTACAGGGGAGATTCAGTTTCAGACTGAAGTGGAGATGATCTGCCTTGCTGTACATCGCAACTTGCTTCGTCTCTATGGTTACTGTGTCACTCCTACAGAGAGACTCTTGGTTTATCCCTTCAAGTCCAATGGTAGTGTTGCTTCACGTCTCAAAGGTAACACAATACGTACTTTCCTTTTACTCCTCTGATCCTATTTATGAGGTAAAGAGAAAAGATTAATTTTGGTCCTCTTTATTAGGAACTTTATTATTTTATATGATTATCTTTACTTTTTTTCTCTTATTAAATACTATAAAAATTATTAAAAATAATTCTTTTTGTCCTTATTATAGAGTGGAGATAGAAAGTGATTAAATTTTAAGATAGAGTTAATATCGTTTAAAGTTTTTTTTTATTTTGATAAAACATGTTGGAAGTGACTTATAAATAATACTAAAAGAGGTATGTCATACATGATTATCTAGTATGTCATATTGTTGAGTTATTTAAGTTTGAGTTATATTAGTCTCAAACATGAAATAACTCTCAACATGATAATTTTCATCCAAGTTCAAACTTGAGACCATACTTGAGGACTATCATCAGGTCCTTTTTATCTCTAGATGTTTGTGTTGAGCTAAAGCATAGATTGCTTATTATTCTTCTAGTTGGTGTAGTGAATATGGAATTTGATACCAAAATGTGGTTTGATTAAATCAATTCTGCCCAAAATCATGCTTATAAATCAATTTTATCCAAACTCTGTTCTACCCAACACTAATCCAAACTCATAATTTAGGTCATGGTTATAACATGATATTTGATACTGGTAACTATTTTTTATTTGAACTCTTTAAATGATAAGTAGCTCTCCTTCTATCCACAATTTTCAAAGTCAAATCCTTTCTTGAGGGTATCAAATCTCCTCTATTTTACCCAACAACTATTGGTGTAATACCAACTTTCTATTTTTATATATCTGTGTTGAGCTAGAGTGAAGATTGTGTATTATTCTTGTGGCCGATGCAGTGAAGCCTGCTTTAGAGTGGAGCACAAGGAAGAGGATAGCTTTAGGAGCGGCTAGAGGGTTAGTATACCTACATGAGCAGTGTGATCCCAAGATTATTCATAGGGATGTGAAGGCTGCAAATATATTGCTTGATGAGTACTGTGAAGCTGTGGTTGGCGATTTTGGGTTAGCAAAACTGCTAGATCATAGAGATTCACATGTCACTACAGCTGTTAGAGGCACTGTAGGCCATATAGCACCAGAGTACCTCTCAACAGGCCAGTCTTCTGATAAAACTGATGTCTTTGGCTTTGGGATTCTTCTCCTTGAACTCATCTCTGGCCGTACAGCTCTTGAGTTTGGAAAAGCAGCTAACCAGAAAGGAGCCATGCTTGATTGGGTAAGCAAGACAGAATCAATCTCGTGTTAGTTAATATACAGACGGTTATGAGTGATAAAAATTCTATGCAGGTGAAGAAAATGCATCAAGAGAAGAAGCTTGACTTGCTGATTGACAAGGACCTCAGAAACAACTATGACAGGATTGAGCTTGAAGAAATGGTTCGAATAGCGCTCTTGTGCACCCAGTACCTTCCAGCTCATAGACCCAAAATGTCTGAAGTGGTTAGGATGCTTGAAGGAGATGGGCTTGCAGAGAAATGGGAAGCTTCAAAGGGATCTGAATCAACAAGGAGCAGGGAAAATGAGCTATCTTCTTCAGAACGCTACTCTGATCTCACTGACGACTCTACACTGCCTAATCAGGCCATGGAGCTTTCTGGCCCAAGGTGATGCGCGCGCGCGTGTATATATATAAATATATAAAGATCAGAATAAGGTAAGGAGTGAAACAGAGTTATCACCTTGAAACATGAGGCATCAAACTAGAAGTCATGTTTGATATGTGTTCAACACAACTTCAGTGAAACCTTAACATTATACATGTTACTGTGTTTGTTGTACAGGAGCACCATATTAGCCCCTCAAAGTTGGCTATCTAAATATTTCTCTGTAAAGTTTCAAATGAGAATATAACGCTGACGCATAGATATGCATGTTGAGTTTTCTTGACTTTTCCTCTCGACCTAAGCTTCTATCAGGGCTTTGAATTTGAAAGAATGTTGTTTATGAAGCTTGCCTTAGATTTGTATTCAACTGTGATTCAGATCATGAGTAATTGCTTACATTGTAAATAAGTTTCTGATTTTCCTTTGGTTTACCCTCAAGAAGAATCAGAGTTTTTGATGATGTCAAAGATTATCCCTTTTTAATTTGGACATAATTGTCCCCTTGGTTATTGACTTGAAGTGTCAAGAAAGGCCAAGTCTGTAAGCTTTGCATTCTAATTCATATATTGAAATCAACAAGAAAAAGATATGATCAATCTATGTCTGCACTAAACAATACACAGTGACATAAAATTCCTTCGAAACTCAAAAGAATCTAATGGGAAACATAAAAGTAATATAACAAGATTCAGATACCAAAATGATGTTGAACCAAATAACATTTCATAGTGATAGGTATAAACAAACCAGATCGTGTAAGCAGGCGAAGAAGGCGGCTTAAATAGCATAAATGAAATTAACTTTTGCTTTTGGTGAGGCCCGATCTTTTTGTAAAAGAACTCGGGAAACTTCCAAGAGCTTAATAGCATCTGATCTCTTTTGATGAATCCTGAATGCAAGAATATCCAAAGATGGTGAAACAGCAATAGACATCCCACTAAACCCAGTACCATCTCACAGAGATCATTGACTTCAACAGTCACTGTCCCAAGCTGATGAAGAGAGCAGCCACTGCTGGTGAACTCCACAAAACAGTCCCACATCAGCTGCCGGTCCAGATTCTTGACCTAGAACAATCAACAAGTGTTTCACTAGGCAAAAAAAAAAAAAAAAAAAACGGTGATATTCTAACTAAATACACTGGAAAATAAACTATGAAGCAGGAATCTTTCTTGCATATGTTGACTACAAGTTCCTCCAAGTTAGGAAAATTTTTAAGCATGCAAAAAAGCAGAGAAATCTCCTGTGGTTCAAAGAAAGCAATCCCATTCAATTCCAGATGTTTTGAGGTGTATATCATCTTTGGAAGAAGCTTTGGAACGCTCCCCACAGAGAAATACTACAAATTCAAACAGCAAGACCATGTAAGTATCTGTACACATGCTCAACTAAAAAGCTGCAATTTTTTCGTAAAAGAATGACATTCACTTTTTGATTCAAAAATAACCCTGTATAAAATAAAGGCTTAGAAAATCCAGCCTCGGGGTAGATTTAGGTAACATGACAAAGTATGACCATGCTTAACAGAATGAATATCAAAATTTGAAAAACCAATGGTATTTTCTAATGTTCCCTTCTAAATTAGCCAGATGAGAGAACCAAATCAGATCCCATTGAATTGCATTGACTTGGTCACTTGTTCTAGCTCAAAATTTGTAATATTGTCTCACCTGAATGGAACCATTTACCAGACAAAGCTTCTCAATTCGCAGCAACGATGAGAAAATGTTAATCAAATTGCATGTTCTTCCTCCCTCCAAGTTTTCCAAACATCTACTAAGAATAATTTTCAGATCCGCTAGATTCTTTGATTTCTCAAAACAAACTGACTTCAAAGCCCGAGTCTCTGCTATGAACAAGACTTCTAGAGTGGGAAAAGAGATATTAGATGAGCAAAACCACGACAGAATGAAATGATCAGATCCTCTGGCAATGGACAACTAGAAATAAGACTCTCAAGTGTTGGTGATTCAATTCTAATCAAAGACATGTGAAGTTGCACCAGCCTTTTAAAGCGAACAATATCAGGTGGAGATCTCAGTGTAAAACTTTCGAGTTTCAAGCAACTCAAGTCCTTACATGAGAAGAGATGAGATGGCGATGGCATTTCAGATGTATCATCCTTTCGGTTTACAAGCTTAAGAGTCTTTATGCCTCTTCTTGATAAAAACAGAATCCACTGATTGAGACATCTACGTCTAATTGGGAAGCCACAACGGAAGTATAGAATAAACTCATGTACAGGGCCACTGTGCTGCAGAAGAACTTCAGAGATTACAGTAGGAATTTCTTGGTTTAAAAGATTTCCATGAATTAGGGTACTTCTAAAAAATGTTTCATCAAATCCAAGTCGGGGTATGGTAGTCCACATATACCTTCATTTCCTTGACGGAATACTGGTCTTAATTGCACCTTGGAGGGGCAAGTTCTCCATGATATAATCAATGACGTTTCTTGGCAGGTCACTGATGAGGTCCACATGAGTTCCCTGATCACCCCTCCAGATATGACAATTCAAAGCCAAACTAGACATTCAAATGCAGAGTATATCTCAGAATCAATAATACAATAAATTAAAGATTCCATCAGCTAGAATGTTGAAGAAAATAGATTCAAGGTTTTTCTGAACAAGCAAACAAAAAAGAACTCGTGTTCATTTCAGCCATACATAGAACACATCCCAAAGTTAATAAATACATGCTTTTGGCAGCTTGATAGTTTAATACCTTTGTCTCTTTCAGCATTTCTTTACTCTCTTTTAAATTTTTCTTAATCCTGGAAGCCCCAAATGTGTAGCATTATGCCTAAAACTAACAAGGTAATACACAGTGTGGCTACTAAAAACAATAACCAAAGTGATGTCCCTCAGCTAGGTTTCCAGGTTTGACAATGGTTTTCAACTAAAATCCTGTGTCTGAAAGCTAAGTTCGTTAATCGTAAGCCTGCTATTGTTACGGTGTAATTTGTAAGTTCTTAAAAGCCAAGAAAGTTGTTGTCAAAGTGATGGTACAACTGCAGTCTGAACATGCATCAGCATGGCATGCAATTATCGTCTACACTAGTTGGATTAAAGTGAAGTTTTGAAATTTTGAGCATAATTTGAAATATATATTAACATTCTAGTTCTTCGTAGTCTCATCACAAATTCACGCACTGAAAAAGAATACTATTGTTCTATTCTACGTCCAGTTTACCAATTTTCTATCAATTAACTCCTTGGATGACCGAAAATTAACAAGCCCTAATTGACATTAACACTTACTAATAGAGAACAGATTCTACCGTTTAATCTTTTCTCTCAATAATCGCCGTTGTCCTCATCTGATATTGATCCTTTAACTGAAAAATAATAATTTAAAAATTTATCATAATAAAATTATAAAATTAAAAATCAAAGTTTCTGAAATTTAACACTCAAGACATAAGTTGAATTAATTGACCTTCTTCAAATTTATCTGTCCTTTTCCCTTTAATATGTTCAGTTAACTGAAAAATCAATTAGTCCCTAACTAACTGATCTTTTTAAGATATTCATGTCATTCTCCTAATATTATACAGAACATCTTAGAAAGTTACATAAGAATTTAAACAATAATAATATTAATTAAGCATTCAAAACTATAGATAAACGCTACGAAAAAATATTAGTTTTTTATAAATAAAAATATTAGTTTTTATTTTTTACTTATGTAAAAAATTAAAATACAATTTAATTAATAATCAATTTGACCATCTATCGTATAATTATTAAATCATTATTATTCTCAACAACAACTATAAGTTATTAAAAATGATACATTTATATTAATAATATTTTATAAAAAATTTAATTTTCTTAAAAATAAAATTTTATTAAAGCCATAAAAAGATACAAGCTAAAAACTTGGGGCTAACTAAATTCTAGCATAATATCATAAATATAGAGATTCAAGCCTATACAAGACCAAAAACATAATTAAAAAAATCAGCCCATGAAAGGATCATCACAAAGATAGCCAAAAAATTGGAATCAATATCCCTAACTAAACTGTAACCAAAACAAAGAAAATTAAAACACAACTAAACCAACGAGCACATAACTTAATTGGTAAAGAAATTGCGTTAGCTTAACTAGTAGTTTTGTTTGAGTCATAAGTATATAGTTCTATTAAATACTTAAATGCTCATTGAGAAAGCCTTATCATCAATGTAATCCTATTTATAGTGAGAAATTGTATTAAAAAAATACAACCAATACAATCCAACAAAAAAAGTTAATATATATGCGATTATAAGTGAATGTGTTTTATACACTAATTACACATTCATAAGGAATGACTTATAAATTTTGGAGGAATTATAAATTATCACACTACAATTCAGAGCGCATTTACTTATAAATCTTAAATACATTAGTTGAGTTATAAATTTGTGAAGGAAACATTGTAAATTTTAGAGGGAGGCTTATAATTTAATATACTATTTTAATTTTTGATTCAACTATTACGAAAAACATATTAACCCATAAATTTCATATACATTAGTTAAGTTGTAAGTTTAAAAAAAATTGTAAACATCAAAAGTGGAATTATAATTGTGTTTTAAGGTTCATAATATTTAAGTTATTAAATATTAAAATATTAATATTTTCATTAGATACTATTAAAATAAATATAATATTTTTTTAATTACTTTCTTATCCGATAATCATCCCGTATTTGTTAAAATGATTGGTTAAATTTCATCCTAAAAAATGATTGGTTAAAATAGAATTTGGTCTTTTACATAAATAAAACATAACATTAGCCTCTTTGTATTTATTTATTATTTTAAAGACTTAATTGGTATTAACTTTCTTATAATTATAAGGTAATTATTGGTATTTTTAGGTTTTTCAAAAATATTTTCAATAAATTAACGATCAAATCATCAAACATTTATCGAGAATGGCATTGCTTCCTTTTAAATATATGAAGAGTAACATCGTACCACACTTGATTTTAAGCCACCTAATGAACCTTAAGAAAAATGGCTGGGAAAATATTAATGAATGAGTTGTGAAAGAATTTAATATTTGATAATAATTTTGAATAAATAAACATCAAAAAATAAAAAGTGAAGTTATTGTTTTGACAAGTATCTAATCTATCTAGATCCTTGTCATATATTAAATTCTTTTATGGTCCTTCATGAATATTCTCCCCAAAAAAATTTAGAGCAAATTAGACTTTAACTCTAGTTTAATTTTGTTTCTACTATCAGGATTAAGGAAAATTATATATTTTAGGAAAAACATAACTTTGGGTAAATCCACTTTGCTCACATTTTGATATTAGTCCCTACACTTTTCTCTATATTTTAGGTTCCTATACTTTTATTTTTTAATGTTTTAAGTCCCTCTATGAATAAATTATAGAAACCTCAAAGGAACCTAGAACATCA